TCCAATGACATCTTAAACGCCCGGAACGGAACTTTCTGGTGCAGTACTGATTTATTACCTGCGTAATATGGAACATCAGATTGTAATGTAATTATTTTCTGATTAATAACAAGTTTCATCGCGAAGTTCATTCACTGGCTAATTGAAGTCATAGGATACATATCATTGAGCTATTGAACGGCAGAAACAGACCTTTGTTTATGAAGTTCACAATGTCGACGATCGGTATACAGCCCCCGTACCATTGTCGTCGGCGGTTGTCCCGAGTGGTCGCGAGTACGTTTGCCCCGTTTGTGTCGTTTCTCAAGGGCAGAAGTTGGTGGCAAGTTTATCCATGACCTCACCTCCTCACCTATGTCCAAGGTGGTCGCAGTCGATGAATCAAACCGTGTCTGGTGAAGGTGCCTGAAGGACCCCATGACACAAGGATGATGTCGATCGTAGTAGCCGCCGGTCACACGTACGGAGCCAGGTTTTGTGTCATGCTTAAAGTTCAGGCAGTGATGGAAAGCGGCCGTCCGATGAGGCGGTCCGGAGGCGAAAAGGTTCAACGGCCGGCACGGTAAACTAGTTTGAACCAGATGTAGACGTCAAAGCAATGGACCGTTGTTCGAACGTCTGTTCTGCAGAAGTGATGGTGTTGTTCGGTTCTGTCGAGTCTCAGGAACTGGTATGTTAAGCAGTACAACCGAGACATTGTCCTGTTTACGCGAAGGTGTTTTTTAGTCGTAACAGCTGGCGCGATGTTTTACATTGACAGTAAGTTGCTTTGCACGTGACCTTGATCTTCAGGTTATGGTCCGTAATGATGAGTCGATGCCACTTTCATCAGATAATATAACTCGTTTTCCTGTAACGGATATATTACTATTGTAAAGTAATATTGGGAAAGTATTAAAGTATTTCCGGGAAACTGCGAATGTATTTTAAACACAAAAGTTTTCCGTTACTGTTTGCTGCCTGGCTGACTGACGGATATAAAACTTGGGCCTTAGACCTGAAAGCTGTTCATAAACTGCTGACTATGCAACTCAACAGCATGAGAAGGTGTGTTGGGAATAGCACGAAAAAGTAAGAAGGCAAAGGAAACGGTTTGGGCTTGTGAATGCCACCGCTTGAAGGAGATGAAGTGATAGAGGGACTGAGGATCATCGCTCGACCATATAAATATTAAACTTAATCTTAAAAGACAGTAAATCGCTTGTGGGAAAACTTCCACATCGATGACAAGATTAGCTGAAGAATTAACTGGATCAAGATGAATAAGAATTGCAAAGTTCAGAAAAGTACGACAAGGTCTTTGAAATTCCTTCATGCAACAGTGGTCAAAAAATTGATAGTTATTACGCAACACAACTTTCATATGTATTTGTGCGAGTTAAGCGTAGATAAGTAGATGGTGTGTGATTTAACGATAAATTGTAATGCTTCCGTTGCATGTCTTCTATCTGGTAACTACGTAATCCGAAGTAACTATAATGCCAAAATTTTCGTAATCATGGACATAATGTGGCAGATTTGTAGATAAGGCATTTGCAGAGCGCGAATTCAGACCACCTTGGATATTGGTGACACCAGTCCCAACCTGATTATATGCTAATACCCAGTGCAAGTTGTGCTACTTGTCGTCTCTCGCCACGAAGATTAAGTACTAAGGTTCTTTGCCCTAAGCGAATTAGGCGTTCCACCCAGCGTAGTCGGAAATATCACGTTAATTTTTGACATATCTGCTGTATATCACTTCTCTTTTAGGAGTGAAACAAAAAACGCGCCAATTAAGAAGCGGAAACACTTGTTCAAATTGGAACACGTTTACAGCGATTATTCGAGAAATCCAAACCGAAATCTGATGGGCGGAAGTGTACTGCACGCCATCAAACCGATAGCGGTTTCACATGACCGACAGCGATGCCGTGAGGTAAGTATTGGTGAGGGTGAACTGTGATTTGAGACTGCCTTTGATAAATGTTTTATCAGTTTTTATAGGATTCGACAGAGTCATTATTCATTCATCTTCAGTGTCTGCTGTTGCTTTCAGTTCGCTGCAAAGGCTGATTCAGGAGAAATTTCCGATTGTCCCGATGCGTCTCTAAAACGGACAGGCTCTGTGATTAGATTCTAAAGGGAGACGGTACATTACTATTATACTATCGATCCATTTGAGTTGCTGTCCGCCGTCGGCCGCTTTTTCCTATGGCTTCTCAGAGCGAGTACACTCGTGGAGTCTCTCCTGTGACATCCTCATTAGGCGAACAAATCGTGTCAGTCGTGGTTTCTCGGCCTGGAGATGGAGGTATCGACGATTACCGTTTACCAAGCCATGTCGAGTCTCCTCATACCAGCGATCCTTCGAATGAACCTCATTTCTGTCGCTTGTACGCTCTTTCGTACTGCTGCGGTCAGTGTCCTTCGCTCATTACCGTTCATGAGGGTATATTCTTAGACAAAAAAAAAACGAAGGCCGATGGCCTTGCACTGCTGGCTAATTCTTCACCACGCTCTTCTTTAGCTGCTGCGTTGCGATACTCGACTAGTATGCCCGTGTGTCGGGAGAGTTGCAGTTTTCTCTGGAACAATTGGTGCACTTGAGCCTAAAGGCCGATACGGCGATTACCATACCATGGTAGTGACAGTCGTAAAAACGAGTGAACTTTGAGGATTGTTTTTCACTCTGTTCGATGGCCTTACGACCTTTGCAATGACACAACTTTGGAGAAGAGGCACAGGCGCTGCTGCTGAGCTAAAAACATCTCATGTTTGCTTTGTCGCCTGACGCCTGTTTGTATGCCAAGCTTTAGTAAACGCCGCTGTCATCATTAATCAACGGTGACAACTCGTGGAAACGTACGCAGTTCATCCGATTGGGGGGTCGGGCTACTAACTAACGCCGTCCCGCGTCAACTTTGGCAGATATTTCACTTAGGTTAGTCGTTGGCCATCGGTACGTTTCTTTGATGTTTGTGTTGTGGCACGCTAATCTGATTAGCAGCAATCGCGCGTTTGACGGAGCGGTTTGCTGCCTACTGTATGTGTTTCAATTGGTTTATTTGGGTCTTCGGCGACCATTGGCCAATCAACGAATGATATCGATCGCCATTCAAACGGATCGCCTCTTAGCTTGTGCAACGTCGTGAAACTAACTTCGCCTCCCCTCGATCGTCCGTTCGTCCCTTGGTCGGTCGTCGGTCGGTCGGCCGTTTTTCGTCTGGCTTGGCGAACTCGTTGTCTGTTACAGGGGACACCGCCAAACGGCTGCCAGGCGTCCAGCGGTATGTGCTACGAATGGCACGGTTCAACGAAACAGGGTTGATGTAATAGTTATTGGCGCCACGTGGTTCCTGTCGTCGGTCGGCCACCCCCCCCCTCGTTGGGGCGATGACCGTGGCGTCTATGTCGCCGCGTTGGCAGTTATGACGCCGCGGTTTTGGCACTCCTCAGATGGGCAGGTAGAGTTCTCCGTGCGCCACCGTAATTGCGATCGAGTTTGACGCGACTCGCGCCCTGTGTCTCGTTTTATTTAAGTTTACATTTAAACTTTAAGCCCGGTGTTGTTTCAGGCGAATGAGTGATGACGGAGGTGAAGGAAGCTCCCACGGCAACAACTGCGTTGGTCACCGCTGCTTCCGGGTCTGCGCTGGTGGTGGAAAACCCGTCTCCGCCCTCGCCTGTAATCGTGCAGCCCCCGGTGGACACGTACTTGATCCGGGGCCGGGCGCAGTCGGTGCAGCTCACGTGCAAGGCGCTGTATGCCGAACGGATTATGTTCAAGTGCAACGACGAATGGGTAAGCTGTATATTCATTCCTGACTGTCTGACTGAACAGCTAATGGAGGAGTGGTGTGTACGAGTGTTTCACCGCTGCTGGCCGAGTACCGGTGGGCAGACGCACGCACCAAGTCGTGTCGCTTAACAAGGGCCACTCAGGGCTTGTTTGCATACGGTCGATGTCCACCGCACCGCTGACCAAAATACAATAGTCCTGTTGTGTGCCGTTGAGTGACCGTAGTCATTAGTGCATTGTTTCAGCGATGACTGCATTTACGCAACTGTTTTTTTACGCTTAACAAGCAGCATTTACGTGAACA